CACACTAGTGACCCTGGCCAAGTTCTTAATCTCTGAACTTTGGTTTTCTGAACTATAAAACGGAATGCTTAATCTTCCATGGATTATTTGGGAATAAGGTGAATTCATTTAATAAAACTCCCAAATAAAATACAGTGTGAATGATCCAGGAGTTTTTTTTTTTCTCATGCAACATGATATCTCAGGTAGGCAGTTGGTAGTGCAGCTCAAAACCTAAATGATATCAGCATCTAGAACCCTGCAATTCTCTTGGCTTCTCCCTCATAGTGAGAAAATGGCTGCAACAGCTCCAGTTGTTCCAATGCCTTTCTAAGAAGAAGGAATGAGTATAGCAAATAACAAAAGGCATGTACCAACTGGATCAGCCTCCCTGTGAAAAAGATTTCCCAGAGCCCTACCCACTTACAGCTCATCACATGGCCACCCGCAACTGCCAGGGGGCTTAGAAATGTCACTTTCAAAGCTGGGTACAGAGCTCAAATAAGGTTCTGTTAGTAACAACAGAAAGGGAGTGTACGTGTCATCTAGCTGTGACTGTCAGTCCTCACCCCACAAGCTTGCCTTCCACATAGTAGGTGCTCATTAAACAGTAGCTATTTTTCTTTTTCTTATTTATTTGATAGCTTCTGCTCAGTAGCTGACTCATAGCTTGTCCCTCAAAGAGAAGGGAGAGAGAGAGCTCTGAGTTGTCCCACACCTCTTGCCTTCCTGGTGTCCCACATGATTCCCATATTACTCAGTGATAGCCACATACAAAACACCTGAAAACTCCAGAGGATGAAACAATCATTGTTTCTGCTCATGAGCCCACAGAAAAGCCTGAGGTCTCTGGTCCTGGCTGGGTTCACTCATCCATCTGAGGTCAGCTGCAGGTCAGGAAGGAGTGTCTGCTGATCTTGGCTGGGCTCTCTCCCATGCTTGGTGGTCGGAGCTGCAAAGAGACACAGGACAGGCAGGTGAGAAGTGCAGCTGTGTAATCAGTCTATCCCAGATTGAGGGATGCCAGGGGGCCTGACATCATGAAAGGACCCAAGAGATCCTCAACTGTGAGTTGCAGCTTCTTGTCCTATTATTTCTCCAACCAAATTTTCCTCGGGTCCTGTCAGTTTTCTGCAGGAACTTTCATGGACCTGCTTCTATTTTCACTTGCTCTGTCTTCCTGCCTTCCATCCCTGATGTCTGGGCATTGGAGAGTTGGAGTGTTTTCACTTAGGAGGCCCTCACAGCTCTGCCCTCTGGCCCATGTCCCCTGGTGCCTGGGCATTTTCTCCCATCAGCTGGCTTCTTCCCTACCCAGCTCAACACCTGGGAGGGCACAGGCAGCCCTCCTCCCGGACAGCTGAGGGCCCAGGGATGAAGCCTAGCTCCTAACCCTAAGGCTCCAGGTAGTTTTTGTCCTGCAAGCCCTCATTCAAAACCGTAGACCCCTTATCCCCTGGAGCTTTCTTCACAAGTCCAAACCAGCTGAATGTACCCAGCCAGTTCAATTCCTTGGGGCCACATCCGTTAGGCGTTCACCTGGAAGGGCTTCATTCCTTCTTGCCGTGAGTGTGAAGTGCTTATGAGCATAGACTCGAGCCAGGTAGGCTGGATCTTATATCTACCTCATCCAGCACTTGCCGTGTGATTTGGGGCCAATTACCTACTTCTCTGTAAAATGGGAAGAGCGATAACCTGCCTCGTGGATTATTGTGAGGATAATTTGCTAATCCACCTGCTACTCCTAGAACAGTGCCTGTCATACAGCAGATGCAGCGGATGAGTCTGTCACTCTTACTTTAGTCAGGCTGTGCAGCATTTGCCATTATGAACAGATCACTCTTTTTGGGGCTTCGTCACCCTGTGCCTGCATACATGGCATTAATCCTGGCTGCTGCTTTAATTATTTCTTCTCACATTCATTCAATCCTACCCTTTTCTTCATTTGTTTAAACACTGCCTGCATGTCTCCCAGTTATTAGTCACTGTGTTAGACAAGGGAACAAAATAATCAATCTGCTATGGTCTTTGTCCCCCTGAAGACAGTTCATTTAAAACACGTTTTAAAAGTCCCCAAAAGAAAGTACAAGAAAGTGTGATCAATGATGTAATAAGGGCAGTAGGAGGTTATAGGAGTACAGAGTGAAAGTAAGTACTATAGTTTTTTTAGTCTTCTAAAATGCTGTTACAACAAATTATGCTGGGTAACTAGGCCATTACCTGGGGCTTACAAATATTTTGGCTGCACTTCACTTGGATTTTGACTGTAACCGGATTTGACTTGTATTTAATGGCTCCATTTCCTCAGGGTTGAAAAACAGGTCACATCTTTTAGGAATGGGACTTGACAGCGTGTAGCATTTCTTGGCTGTGAGGTGCTTATAGGAAGGCACTGTCACATGGCACTGGGTATGACTTGCTTTGTTCTGGCTTGGCTGGTGGGCCATGCTGTTTTTATAGTAATGGAGTTTTCAAAAAATGTTATCTGTATTTCTATTAAAGAATGAGCTCGAGTTTAAAAAGTCAAACACTATTAAAAGCTTCTATTGAAAACAGCAGTCCCCTTCCCTGGCCCCCTACTCCCCCTTCTACTGCATTCCTCCTCCCCTCAGGCAGACACTTCCAAATTGTTTGAGATGTTTCTTTCCATACTTATCTCCTTGTTAAACAACATGTATGTTGCTCTTTCTTGATATCTCCACTTTGGAAGTTTTTATACTCCACCCCTTCTTCAAACCTGCCCCACACTTCTTCTGCTCTCCAGCCTTCCAGTTTATTTGCATAACAATGTTTGGTCAAATCAGTAGTCAGGGTTTGTATTATTTTGTGTAAACATCAGTCACTGGCTAAACCACAGAGCTGACCATGATTGCTTTTTCTTTCTCATACAGTTTTTATTATCCTAGTGTTAATAGTTAGATCACTTTTTTTATTTGCTTAATTTTCTGTGTACTTACCATTAATTTGTTGCCTCTACCAAAACTTAAATTCCTTTGAATACCAGCACATCAAGTTTCATTTTTATCTTTGATACATTTCTTCTGGACAATTCTGGACTTGCCTCCAGAAGGATCCCACACTGGCCTCCAGAAAGACTCCACATTACAATTCGGTCATTTCCCTTTATACTCATCATAGGATTTCCCTTTATGACCACCCTGGGGGTTCCCTTTAACTCTATTCCATGTTGGATCCTTTATTTCCTTGACTTTGTATGATCTTCTTTTAAAAATTTTCCTTCCTTGTTTTGGTGGCACATTTTAGTAAGTAGGGTCCATAAATATCTGAAACTAAATTCATTCTACCTCCGTATTTGATTGCTAGACTGGCTGGTATGATGATTACTTTTATGTGTCAACTTGACTGGGCTAAGGAATGCCCAGGTAGCTAGTGAAACATTATTTCTAAGTGTGTCTGTGAGGGTCTTTCCAGTAGAGATTAGCTCATGTACAATAGACTGAGGAAAGAAGATCCTTCCTCACCAATGAGGGCAGGCCCAAATAAAACAAAAAAGCAAAGGAAGGGTGACTGTCCTCTTTCTCTTCTTGAGCTGGGACACCATCTTCTCCTACACTTGGACATCAAAGATCCTGGTTCTTGGGCCTTTAAATTCAGAGACTTATACCAGTGTCTTTGTGGTTCTCAGGCCTTTGGACTCATTCTGGCTTTCCTGGTTGGTCAGCTTGTGGATGGTACATTGTAGGACTTCTCAAACTCCATAACTATGTGAGCCAGTTCATATAATAACCTCCTCCTATTGATTCTGTTTCTCTGGAGAACTCTAACACAGCTGGGTAAAAAATTTTAGTTTACAAATAATTTTCACTCATGGTTTTAAAAGCATTGCTTCATTGTTTTCCAGATTCCATTATTACTACTGAGAAGTCTGATAGCACTCTGATTTCAAATCCTCTACATGTGACCTATTTTCTTCTTTTTCTCTGGAATTTTTAAGGTATTTCCCTGTGCTAGTTCTTCTAAAGCCTTACAACAGCTTGCCTTGATGTGGGTCTCTTTTATATTCTTTGAGCAAAAAACTCCAGGAAATCCTTTCAGTCTGGAGGCAAATGCCTTCATTTTGGAAAGCTTTTCTGTATTTTTTCTTTAATAACATCTTTACCTCTATATTCTCTTTTTTCTCCTTCTGGAATTCCTATTACTCAATGTTGGCACTGTTAGACTGACTCACAGGTTCTAATTGTCTTAACTTCTCTTTCTTATTTTATTTTGTTTTTCTTCTCTCTGGGTGATCTTTCAACTTTATCTTCTAACTCCTCAATTTTCTTTGTCTTCTATTAATTTTTTTAAAATTTCTATTCTTATACTTTCAATTTCCTAGAGCTCTTTCTCATTCTATACATTCTAGAAATATTACCTTGTTTTTGCATCATCTTTTTTGTTTCAAATATGTAACACCCTCTCATCTTTCTGAGGAGAAATTTTTAAAGGCTTGGTTTAAAAGTTTTCTTCTGCTCTTATCACTCTCTGTCTCCTCTGATCTCTTGTCTGTGGTCTTTTTCTGTCTTTAATGACAGAAGTTTTCCCTCAGATGCCTGGTGACCCCTAGTCATCCATTTTTAGCCAAATTATAGCACAGGGGTTTCATTTTGGGGTGACAAAATGTTTTGCAACTAGATAGACATCGTAGTTGCACACTATTATCAATGTGCTAACTGCTACTGAAATGTTCACCTTCAAATGATTAAATTTAAGTTATGTGAATTTCACCACCAAAAAAATTGAAAAAAAAAGAGAGAGAGAAGCACTAAACTGCAGTGGGGTTAGGATCTCTGTTGTGCATGGACTCACTGACTGGTAAACTTACTTCCAGAGGATTGACCAGGAACTCTGTCATCTCAATAGGGATTTCCAAGTGTCAGGATCCATTGGGTTCTCCCATTAGACACTTCCATTTCCCCAGCAAGGTATGCTCCAGCCTCCTAGAGGACAGGGGTCAAGAATTTCAGGTTTTAGTCTTCACTTTGGCACTAACTGGCTGTTTGCTCTTGAATATGTTACAGGACTGCTCTGCATTCCAGTTTTGGAAATATTTCCTGATCTGTAAAATGGTGAGTTGAAGGCAGACACCCTTTGCAGTTCTCAGAGCAGTGCTGGGCAGAGACCTTTTGAATCAGATGTTGGCCCTTTTGGAAGCTGAGAACTACTGGAAGTCCTTTTGAAACTAAGAGCATTTAATCCTGCCCACGACTTTGGAGCATCATTTTCAGTTAAAGGTATAAAGCACGTTAAAAGTAAGAAAATACTTGAAACACAGTAAATCCCTAGGGGTTAGAATCATTGAATAGAACAGGTGACTCGAGCTTAGCCTGTTGGCTGAAATCGATATACTTTATATTTTCATGCATGAAGGATGGCTAATCATGTGGCCTTACATTCCTCTACTCAGCAACCCTCCCTCCTTGGTGCAGATTCTGGCTCTCCCAGTCTTCACACCAACTTTCCAAACTGCGGGGGAGACTGGAGTACCTGCAGAACCCAGGCAGGGTGCCGCAGCAGCACTTTAGAGAAGCCAAAGTACATCGGTGGCCCAGAGCAAATATTAATACTCTAAAAAGGCAGCCTCCTTTACACACAGAAACAACTTTGGAGGACAGGGGAGCCGAAGGGATCTGCAGGGGAGTTTTGGGATACAGAGTGAGATTCGGGCAGTCATGCACGATCTCCCTTCAGATGTTTAAAAAATGCAGAGCGCTGTAAAGCTATATTCAGAATCCAGGCTACTTCTGGAATTCTGCTGTTAATTTTAGAAAATAAGTGTTGGAGGCCAGTGTGTGTGGTTTCATGAGTCTTAAGCAAAACTTCCCTTTTACTTGTGCTCCTCACCTGACTCCTTCCCCCGACCTCCAGCTTTCACTTCCCCTCCCTTTAATGGATGTGTCTCTCTCCTGCTTCTGCTCCCTCCTTCCTCTCTCCAGAAAGCCTCCAGCTGGTCTTTCTGTTTCCCCAAACACTCTGAGACTCCCCCCACCCCACCCGTGGAGGCAGTTGGAGGCCTGAAGACCTCATCCCTTGGACTGCCCTTTCCTTCAGCCTGTGGTTTTTCCAGCTGCCGCCAGGCCAGCCTTTTTGCTGTCTCCACGGGGCCTCTGAATCAATCCCTTTGGATCCCTGATGTTTATCTTCCAAGTTGAAAAGTTTAAATGCAGCCCAGAGTGAGGACTTGGAGGCTGAGCCAGGGAGGATGGAAATGATAAATACCTGTTCAACTTGCAGGACACCGTCCAAAGCCCACGAAAGGGACAGTTACCACCTGGGGCCACTCGGGCTTCAACACACCACGAGGTGTGCCCATGGGTGATTAACTAGCATGTGAGAGCCGATAGCCTGCTGTACATGTGCAGCTCTGTCTACTCATTTCTTCTCTGAAAATCTAATTTTCCCTCATTCCATTTTTTCATGAGTCTCACTTTTTTCTCTTTGGGGCAGATTCTTCAATCCATATGGCTGTTTTAACTGAATTTGTTTGGGGAGCACAGATGGTATGAAAGAAGCTCACAAGGTAAATTGCATTGCTGGGCTGCCTCCTAGAAAACTCTTTGTGCTTTTGGCCTGACATAATTAAAGTGGCCTGAAAGGTGAAGGGGGAAACTTAGCTTCATCTGATATGTCTACGTGAGTGAATCTTTTTGCTGTCCATGATAAATGAATAGGTTCAGGAGCTTGGTTTTTTAAATAGGTGTGTTTTTAAACATTCTTGAGTCCAGAGGGCCCCGGACTGCCTATCAAAAGTGGTGCAAAATCAATCACAATATAGGTAGGTCATGGGGAAGGCAGTACAGCACAGAGAAGACAAGTACTGACTCTATAGCGTCTTACTATGCTGATGGACAGTGACCACAATGTGTGGGGGGAGGGGAGAGGACTTGATAATAGGGGTGAATGTTGAAACCCCAATGTTATTCATGTGAAACCTTCATAAGATTGTGTATCAATTATACTTCAATTTAAAAAAAAAGTGATACAAAATCCTGAGCCCATGGGAGAAATGGGAATCCAGGTAGGGTCTCCCAAGAAAGATCAAGGCATCCTGAGGTCCTGTGGTTCAGTGGGGGAAGCTCCTGGGGGACCACAGATCCGCATGCTTCTCAGCTAATTTACTATGCAATTTTGAACCATTAGTCTCCACTCCACCATATCCTTATATGCAAAATCTGAAAGCATGAAATAAATCCTGAGGTCAATTTTTACAGTATCTGAGGTCTAAGGAAATGTTTTACAGTGTATACTGTCACCCCAGGAACTGGCAGAAAGTCAGTTGTGGGCTGGCTTCTAGAGCTGCTAAGCCTGGGTTTCTCCTGCCCACCTTTCGCCATCAGCCTTTCCCAGGCAACCAAGTTGGAAGACATTTCATATTTGGATTGACAAAGATTCTCTCCCGTACCAAACTCTACTCAGGCTCCACTGAACTTTTCAACTAGGCCTTGACTTTTGGACTTTTCTGTTCATCTCTGCATTGTCCAATTTTAGCAAGAATTCTGCTAAGTCAGCTTAAACAGAATCTTCCACCTTTGGTATTTGATCTAGGTCCTCACCCTCCACCAGCCCCAGGGGATGTCTGATCACCTTGGCCTACCTTCAGCAAGGATGCTATTTGGTGGGTTTTGCAAGAATCTCCCCTTACCCCTAATGCGTTCTCTTGGTAATTTTCCATCCACTCACCCCACCACCCTGCTCCTTTGCTATTATCTCATTTACCCACGTTGTATTCAGGCTTGAATCCAGTTTCTCCCCATGGCAGTGGTCTCTACACATCTTGCCATGGCTCTCTTGAATAAAGTCTTTCTCACCTTACTTTAACAAGTGTCATTGAATAACTTTTTCTTCAGCAGTTCTTTTTATTTAAACAATTCTTCTACTATTTGCAGTATCAACCTGGGATGCAGCTGTTGTTATTACTATTTCTGCTTCACAGACAAAGAGTGTCAAATTCAGTTAGGTTAGGTGACTCACCCAGCATCATGCAGTCCGGAACTGGAGATTTCCCCACCATCCAGGTCTTCTAACTCCCAGACCCAAATGCTTCCTTCCCACCAGAGGCAGAAATGAGGTGCCTCTCTAGTCTGAAGAATTCTTGGAGCAAAAAGTTAATGTCAGGGCTGAGTATGGGGTAGAGTTTCGATGAATTTTATCTTATTCCCTACCCCAATTACAGGGGCAGTGTTGTCTGCTAAAACAGGAAAGTGCCAGCTCTTATTATGTAATGGCTGCTGCATTTCCCAAGAACATCACTATCCTAGCAACATCTAAGCTTTGTAAAGTGCACTGGGAATGGCCTGTTGGATATTTTGGGCCATATCTCTGCCAGGGGAAATAATCTGAGTAATTCAAAAGAGCTTTTTTAAGCCCACCAAAGTCTTGTGATGAGGTCGTGCGTCGTCAGAGACGTCACTTGCTTCCCAAAGGCTCTCCAGGCCTCCATTCCAACCAGCACATCTCCAACTCCTTGCCACTGGGCCAGACTGGGAGCTAAAGGACACTCAAGAAGAAATGAATTTGAAAGGAGCCCAGAGACCCTACCATTAAGGAACAGAAGAGAATTTATAGCACTCATCTGTGCTCTGCTGGGACTGCTTATCGTTCAAGGTGACTGGCAGTGTGTTTGAGATGAGTGCTGATCTTCACAGCCTGATCCAGCAAGGATGTTAGAGAGGAAGCCTAGGGAAAGAAAACGGGAGTCATGTGACCTGGCTCTGAATTCTGGATAGGTTATTAGCTACTCATGTGACCTGGAGACGGCACCTCTCCTCTCTCTCTCTCTCTCTCTCTCTCTCTCTCTCTCTCTCTCTCCTTAGTTTCCTCATTTGTACAAAGAGGTAGTTGGGTAAGGTGATCCCATTTTTTATTCCTCTTACAATCATCTGACATTCTTCAATCCTCAGTTTTCTGGCCCAGCTTCCACAGAACACTGAGGAAAAGGGTCATGGCAAACTGCTAACAGGCACTGAGAATACCTGCCAGCTCCCTGGACCCAAACACACTAAGGAGATAATAGTGTCACTGCTCTACACCATTCACATTCAAATGGGAGTTTGCAGTTACAGAGCCTTCCATGCACACTATCTGAATTATTAAGATAAGCAACCCAGTTTTCCTCAGGTTATGGGAAGCCTGACACAGATATGGCTATAAGGAAAAGATACATTCCTTGACGAATTGAAAGAGTGAGGGTCAGCATCCAGAAACTGGTCACACTCAGGAATAAGCAACTGCTTCTCACTAGCAGCTTCTGTATTGAGGTGATGATTCTGTTTGTGGCCATGTGTTACTATCCCTACCTCTCTCCTTTCCTTTCAGCCACCCACCCATCCATCCATTCATCCATCATCCATCCATGCACCCATTCAACCATTCATTCATCCGTCATTCATTCATCCATCCATCACCTGCCACCTATCTATTATTCTCCAGAAGTATTTACTGAGCACACACCAAATTTGTAGGGGCCATGGCAGGCTCTGTGTAGGATACAAAGGACGTGTTGAAGATGGGCTGTTGTACCAGAGGAGTCCTTTTTTGATCTGGAAAGACCAACTCCTGAAGCAAAGATAATGAAGCCAGAATGATCAGTGCTGAGAAGTACTGGGGCCCTCTTCGCCCCATCCCTCTCTCTCCAATCCTTCATTCTCTTGGACACCCGGATAGCAAGCCTATCCCTGTCCAGCTTCTTCCTTAGCTGAAAGTAATTATGTAGTCACATTTACATAGCTGAGAAAAGAATATTCTCGAGCCACTTCACAAAAGAACATGATTGAGATGCTTCCTGAGTGAATGGTGTTATTATTGCAGGTGGGCCCTCCTTCTTGCCCAGAGGAATGTCACTGTGGTAAATGGGCTCTTACTAGGTATTCTCATAACATATTAATAATTTAAAAAATGAATGTGCATCTTTTGGATAGAACCTCTTAGTATGATTCCCATTCAGCTTGTTGTTTTATTATTGATTATAATAAATGAATAATTGAAGGGATAATGATATTTTTTATTATTATTATTATTTTAATAATAATTAAAAGCTACGATATTAGCTTTTTAGAATGCAGACCATCCCACTTTTAGGATGGTTGTGGTAAACTGCAGTCCATCAGGGGACTCTGATCAGCATGGTGAGAAGGGCATGATCTAGAGACCATGTCTCTACATGAACAACCGAAAGGTTGGTGTGGCAAAGAACCACCCCACACTAAAGGGGTCCTCGCCTGAAGGAGGGAGATGTTTGGCATGGGTTAACCTAGAAGATCAAAGCTAAAACAGAATTCTAAGACAGATTTTAACTCAACATAAGAAAATATTTTTTGAAACAATCAAAATGTATGCCAAGTGAGACAAAGGTTAACATGAGGTGGCATAGCTATACAATGAGATATAATTCAGTGATGAACAGGAATGAGGCTCTGACATATGCTATAGTGTGGATGAGCCTTGTGACATGACGCTCAGTGAAAGAAGCCAGTCAAAAGGGCACACATGGTCTGCTTCCATTTATGTGAAATATGCAGAATAGGTAAATAACAGAGACAGGAAGTAGATTAATGGTTACCTGGGGCTGAGGTAAGGGAAGTTGGAAGGAAATGCGGAGCAACTCCTAATGGGTTTCATTTAGAAATGTTCTAAAATAGGGGCGATGGTTGCACAACTCTGTGAATATATGAAAAATCCTTAATTGTACACTAAATGGGTGAATTGTATGGTAAGTAAATATCTCAAAAAAGCTATAAAAATGAATTTGAAGGAAGCTACTTTTTAACGAAAGTGAAAGTATACACTAGAACAATTCTGGGCCTGTGGAATGCCCTGGAAACCCTGGCTTCCCCCTCCCCCCTGTCTTGGCCAGCAGTGGGAAGACAGCTGAAGAATTAAGAATTCCTGTTATTCCTAGAGATACCAGCATACACCCGGTGACCCTCTGAAAGGGGTAATAGAAGTTGCCTGCAGTGAGAGAGAGGATGGGTCCTAGTTTGGATTTCCCTGAAAGTAGAGCCCGAGGCAAGCCATCGGTTAGGGAGGTGTCCCAGCCACCATTAGTTTGGAGCAGGGCAGGCAAGGCAGGGAAAGAAGAGGTACATTATCAAGGTCATTGCTGTGGGCAGGGGGCTCGAGTCTCCACAGGAGGGGGCGTCCCGAGAAGAGCGCAGAATGCCTCTTCAAATGTTCCTCCTGACGGCCGACTTCTGTCCCCACTGGCTGAGGACTGCCCCTGGGGTGTGATAACTCCCCCAGCCCTCCAGGTGGTAGTTGTTTGGGAGCCACTGCCAGGCCCAGGATTCAAAGCAGAAAGCTGTGTACTGCATGCCTGCAGGGGCATGCTGTGAGGGAAGTGAGCCTGAGCTCTCTGGAACTTTCCACCACAGCTGTGACTGAAATCGGAGGCGGCTCAAGGAGATGCATTATGGGCACCAGATGCACATCTGCCATGATGGACAATTTTGACTCACAGAGGCAAGTTAATGGATGTGACTGGCTTTTTTTTTTAACCAAGTGAAATAAAATAGAAACGATTAA